TCCGCGTTAAATATTGAATATCTATTTTCTGAGTAGTCTCGTGTTCACAGCTTTGTGGATTGTGTGGCTATTGTCCAATGCCACTACACTACTCTCCCACCAGAATCAACGTGATGTTGGTTCGATACCAAATTGGATGGGATCGTCGTGCGCCGAAGGTTACCAAGACTAGGAAGAATCCCCCGGGTAATGATAAGCTGAAAGATAAATCAAAAAGAAGGCGGCAGAATCTGGTCGGGAAATACATGTAATAATTTTAAAATATCTGCCTTCATGTTCAAAACGCTTGAAATGAAAATCTGGGTGAAGATTATTTAAGCTATAAAAAAATGGGGTTACAATAATAATAATAATAAAACGATGCGTGTTAATAACTTAACTTATAGGCAGTAATTATTTTGTGTTTAGAAATATTAAAATAATGAATATTGTAGAAATGTTAATATTGGTATTAGTTTTGGTTTAAATTATGAAATCAAATAACGATTATGCCGGTAAGTTGTCCATATGAGTTGAATTCCAATTGCATCTGTATTAGTAGGCTAACTGAAGGAACAAAAGTATACCGTGGAGAAGAATTCCAACTAGTGTTCCAGTTAGTTTGATACGGCTTATTTAGTTACGGGGAGATTTTCTCAACCTTATTTTTACTTGACCGTGATAGAATTTAGTAATACTACTAATACACATGAATGGTTATTAAAAGAAAATTTCAATATATGAGTGATAATTATATGAGTTTTGGACAGATAGCTAAGAACAAATCGTTAAACATGAGTGTATTCGTAAGAGACATGCTCTAGACTCAATGTTCTGAGTTGCCATAGACTATTTATACATATTTATACCTGACGGCTGATGATGCATACAAGTTAGTTGCAAGTATGCAGTTTATCATAAGGCGGAATACGATTTAATTGAGATATAGTGGTTATAAGTTATTGAAATCAGTTAAGCCTATGTGTCATATTACTAAGTGATGTGGTGCTGCAGGATGTATTTAGCTAAATATGTTTTTACGAGATGATTAATAGTGAGTGATGCTCATGTGATTATCAGGGAGAACATAAGTTGTAACCAAGGGGAGGTACACTCCCAACTCATGTCTATGACAATGGCTTGAACCTTAGTCAGTGTTGGGGTAAATTCGACATTGATGTTTTCAGTTTGCAGGAGATTTGCTCGACTGCTTATACTGATTATTTGCATGCATGATTGTGTCGCTAGACCATCAATTAGACTGACAAGGTTTTGAGATATTTATTGAATGAGCAACTGATAGAGAAACATACTGTAATCATCTGTGATGGATGAAGATACCAAGAAAACAACACCATTTAATGGTAGTTATAAGTCAATTTGTTGACCGATTTCGTTAATAGTTTCATTAATTTTATCAATCATATTACGTGATTGTCAAGTTATGACAATGCTTTATGACGATATCCTGAAACTATTAAATTTAACTAGTTATAGTGTTGATTAAGGATTAGTCAGTGGAAAAATAGGTATTGTTGCTTTAGGTGATTCAAAATCATCAGAAATTTATAACGTTAAAGAATCCGAGACGCCTAATTTAATTATAAATTTCAATTCGGAAATATTCGTTTAGTGTTAATTTTAGTAGGCTACGGAGTTTTGATTTTAAACGTTTGTTTAGCCAACAGCTACCTGAGGATTTAGTTATTTTACTAGTGCAGTTGATAGTACCTAAATTTATAATTTATCTAAACTATGTCTGCATTTTAGGCTGCTAATATGATAAACCAATCCATAAACCCAAATACGATTAGCAACAACGACTATGATGGGTTTATTGATAAATGTTAAACGCGATTCAGATGATTCCTAAATTTAGGAGACATGAAGATAAAGTGTAACGTATGTGCGGGCCAGGTTAACAAGCAGGTTGTTGACGTATATGACAATTTAAAAATAATGAACATGACCAGATAAATAATTTTAAAGTTAAGACTGCTTGTGAAACTTCAGGCAGGAATATGATGCGTTATAAACTTTCCATAAGAAGTTACTGCATTTAGCTTAGTGACACTTACAAATATATGGCAAAAGCAACTGAAAAACATATACATCTTGAGTACAAAAAAAATCATCCAGTAAAATAGTTGAACTCGCCTGGGTTATTTTTGAAAATTAGATTATTCAGTGGACGACATATATAACGCCATTCGTGAGTAGTATTGATCCAAAAGCATCCAGAATAAAACATGCAGTATGGCAATTAATTCCAGGGTGCTTGATGCTGTTGAGGTTTTTGACACTCGCTCGGATCAGAACAATCGAATGAATCCAGATAATTGTATGGTTGTCATTGAACGAACCATCTAAAAATGATTGCAGAAAACTTATAGCTGGAACTCATCGTATGTTTTTGGAGTAGTCATCCTCGTTGTTTGGCAATGGAGCTCGAGAATATGAAATTAGGCAGGCAGTGGTCGGAAGAAAAGATATTACAGGATAGTGCATCGTTTAAAACAGGATGAGGTGTTAAGTGAAGGAACACTGAGAATTAGATCCAGATAAATATTTAGTCCTTGATTGCAGTGCTAGTCAATGTATATTTACGCTATTTACAGGTCATATTTGCTAGAGCTTGATGTTTAAACAAGACTATGTCGCTGAAGCATGTAAATGCTATTACAGCTTGTTAACAAATCATCAAAGCTAATTAGTTAATATAGACGACCAGTTTTTATTATCGATTGAGCTAGTTTGTCATGAGGACTAATCAATATAACATTACGATAATGCATTTGAGCATTAATCAGAGGACTATTGGAATACAGGGTTAACATAAATATAAAATCGATCGAGAAAGTTGAAGTGGAAATAAGGATTAATAATAATAGGTTGCGTTTCTTTAGTTGGGCTCACCAATGTAGGATTATGATCTACTATGATATTAGTACTGCTCTAATAATAGACCTAATCCTAAATTTGTAGATTCGTGATGATATAACTGCCTAATCTATAAGATCTTACGTGGAAGTCACACCATCGACTACGCCAACTCACTGTATCGTATCAATTACCAATACATGATGAAGAAGAAGGTTAGGTTAGAGAAGGAACAATATATTTGATATGAATAGAGACCACGCCTGCATGGCCGAGCCATGCCACTCGATCAACTCCAGTTCATTCAATTCATTGTTCGCGCCTTCTCCCTTGTTAGGTATTTCTCCGCGTTAAATATTGAATATCTATTTTCTGAGTAGTCTCGTGTTCACAGCTTTGTGGATTGTGTGGCTATTGTCCAATGCCACTACAGGGTCCCCCAGGGCTCAGTACTAGAACCTTTTCTCTTCTTGATCTACATAAATGATCTTCCTCAACAGGTAACGTCAGAATTGTTACTCTTTGCCGATGATGTTAAACTTTGGAGGGAGATATGCAATCAAGATGATATACGGGCACTTCAGGGGGATCTGACTCGACTCCAATGTTGGGCAGATATTAATGGACTAACTTTTAACACTTCAAAGTGGAAAGTAGTTCATCTGCGACATGTCTCAGACTACAGTTATAACTTAGGAAACTCCTCTTCAGTAGTATCCCAAGTAGTAAAAGATTTAGGAGTCCTGGTGCCCCATGATTTAAAGTCTTACACTAACTGTGAGAAAAATGCTTTCCTAGCAAACCTTCCACTGGTAACGTTGAAGCGCATTTTTGGCCAGTTTGACGGAAGAACTTTCCACACAATCTTCAATAGTTTCATCCGTCCCCATTTAGAGTACGGAAACATAGTACTTCCCCCTCACTCCAAAATGATAAGGACACTTTGGAGCGTATCCAACGGCGAGCCACGAAATCAATTCGAGGACTCAAATTTAAACCTTACGAAGAACGCCTCCATTCACTAGACCTTTACCCATTAGAGTATAGGCATCTTAGAGGTGATCTATTAATGGCTTATAGTAATCTTAACACTTCTGGACATCCTCTTAAACACCTACTTAAGCTTAGTTCGAACACTAACCTAAGTGGTAACACCCAGAAATTGGAGACACAATATAGCAAAACGGAATGTAGACATAACTTCTACTCCTTAAGAGTTGTCAAATGCTGGAACTCGCTGCCAGCCGAGCTAGTCCAAGTGACTTCCCAGGAGTCCTTCAAGAGGCAACTTGACCTTGACGATGGCACAGGTATTCAGTGTTTGACAACGCTTTTACCAGCAACACCTAATATAATTTGTACTCACCAAGAGAAATCAAATGACAGAGTCGAGGAGATCGGAAGAGTGGCGATTACCAATATATCGGAATTCTTTGATCTAATCTGGCTAGCGATTGCGGTAGATGTTGAGCATAGCGTTACCACGCGTGATCTGGTGCGGATGCATAACCGAGCGCCTTCAGCTAGATGAGTCCACTAAAACATATGGTCAACATCCAATGTCGAAAACTTACAGAGCTATTTATTTTGGGGATTTATTTACCGCCACAACCTATTCTTAAGGACCAAGGACAGCATCATACTATGATTTACCAATTTATTTTCCTCTTTTATTGTTAACATACCTAGGTTCCTGCCTGGAGGACTTGGTGATCCCCTGCTACTAGACACGGAAGCCTGTTAAGCGAAAGCTTCTATTCCGTCCACAACCATTTGAACCATTTGAACTCGAAATACTACTAGCTTAAGGTACCTGACTAAAATTTTGCTCCAGGTCACGCCAAAATATGCAGAGGAACAAAGCTATTCCGACAATCACTCGGCTTAGATATGATGGTGATGATCGTCCTCTACCCTATCCAAGTCGTCCACTTCATTTATTTGGGTTAGTTGTCTTATACCTCAATAATATTTAGCAAACTGACCAACTTCCATTGATCGATCCTCTAATAAAGAAACGGATTAGGCTAAGTTTTGAGCTAGCTTTGTCTCGGTGATATTTCATTCCCTTTAAATCCTTTAACCAGGAGACCAGTGAACTCTTGTGGGTCAGGTTTGTTTGAAAAGTCAGTCTTTCCATCTTAGAAAGGACTCGCGATCCCCCCCTGTTTCTTTTGAAGTGGGGGATTTGTTCTCCGATACCAGTCTCTTCTCTTTAAGCTTTGGCAGTTTGCAAGCTTCTTTTATTCTTTCCACAGCCATATAAAATCAAATAGTAAATTCTTTCCTAGGTCTATTCTGTCGACTAACATTGAATTTTTTCGTCTTCGCGTATCTCCTTATATTGGAGGATCATTTACTACTTTATAGATTTGAATCTCAGTCGAGATGATATTAGCTAAATCAACTCTACAAAAATTGTAGATTGATCGCGCAGATTGATTAGGCGGAAATATAACACTATGGTACAAAAGCCTATTTTCTTTGAACAAGTTAAGTCATGCATCCTAAGCTTTCATAATACTAATGACAAGAGTGTCACGGACGAAACTCATTTTTTACAAAGCTTATGTGAGGCTATAGAATCTGTCCTACGCATGGGACTAAAGTGTAGTCATCGCCTAATAAAGCGAAAGGATTATTGGAACTGGATGAAAAACATTCCACGCATTTGCGAAAAATGGGAAATATTTGTCCACCCAAGTTACTTGCAGGCAATCAATCACGTAAGTGGTATTCAGTTAGCAATTGCTAACTGATGGATTAATTCATTGATTGCTAATGTGTGTTATAACATACCGTTATAACGGTTACAATCGTTAATATGGGCACATATATGTTCGTATACAGTGGTGTTTACACATATGCGTAATACTCACTTCAAAAAATTCGGATGTAATATATAGATAAGCAGTAATAGCAGCCAGGTTGTTGACGATCCTAAGTGGTTTCATAAGCGATTGGATAACTGTATTACATGCGTTAGTTTTTGCACAGTATGCTCTTAACATATATTTGATGTGGCACTTTCTTTCTATATCTCCATACAAGTAGACAACCTTACTTTCGATTTCATGTATCACACTTAAGACTGACAGGAATCAGACAATAATTATTCAATTGCTCATCTAAATATGCTGTTTAAACAGCACTAAACACGTATATTTTTACGTTTTTAAGGAAAACTATATCGAGGAGAAAACTACCAAAATCTTTCAGAGTGGTTTGGTAAAGAGCATACATTCACCAGAGTCGCCTCGTTTTCCTCCAGTTTCAAGGGTCTTATGCACGAAAGAAGCTTATTTTTATACTTATTCTAAACATCAGGGGAAAACATTCTTCAGTCTTGTTTTGTCATCCTAGTCTGTTAGGTGGCTCTGTGTATAGTTCATTTCACTCTACAACTGAATAATGGGAAATAAACCCAATCCACCAACTGAATTTATGGGGTTCATATTTGTTTGGGAACAGGTAAGTCTAAGATATTTGTGACATGCTTTGAGGAACTATTCTCTCTACTCTACGTCATACTTCGGAAACTTTAGCCGCATCACCTTTGTTTATCAATCATATTATATAGTCTAAACATATCATCCTAGCAGTCACGATATTTTATAGTCTGCTTTTATGACGGAAGTATTTTATAAAAATGTCCATATGCATATTAGTGCATTTTATGCTAGATCATTCCGTCATACTATGTAATTATGACCTGGTAACCGAAATAGCTAACAAATTCAGATTACCGGTACCTAATTAACTGAGTCTTTGGCTTATTCACATGTAGAAAGTACAAATAAACTTATTTCCCGTTGATATAGATCAATTTCCTATTCTGTTTATCCTTGTCCACTGATTTCACTAGTTAAGTTCATTTTGTCCTTTAATTTTACTTTATTGTAACAATTTAATTTATATTTGATGCAAATATTCTGTCGATTTTTTTCTTGGTTGAATATTTTGAATATTGTGATCGGTCTGCCGACATCTAATACACTTGATATGCTGATACAAATCATAGATATTCAGATAAGATTGTTTTCTTAGCCTTGCTATTTTCATTTTGTGTGAGGTCATAGCTACGTGCCTGTTTATATCCAACTTATTTGATTAAATGTTAGCTATTTACAGCGGTTTGAACTAGCATGCTCATAATGGTGTTCAAGATTGACGATCAAATCTTAGTCTTATATTGTTAAACAAACTTATGGTTAGTGATTAAGTATTGGAAGTCCTGCTACCATGTTACTTTAAAATTTAAGCTTTGTACAAGAAGGGTATAGTGATCCAAGTTAAGTTTGACTTACTGCTAGGCATAAACGTTTCAAACAGCTAAGCAAGCCACCACAGTTTACTTTTATTGTGTTAATTAGTTTTATCAGTCAGATAAATCATCATACCAGAAGTGGGGAACGACAGAATTTCAGGAACAGGTAGATTTAATGTGCTTAAAAACTGGACGTGTTCATAGGTGGTATAAACAGGAGCTGTACTGTAAAACCCCATAATTTGTCGTTTGTTTCCTACTGATGAATAAATTAGTACGGTCTTATTATTTTTGAATTACGCAACTTTTTGTCATATTTCATTGGACACTTTTGTTCAACATACGCTGATTTTTGTCAAATTGATTTTATAGGTTCACAAATGCCGTAGTGTCACCACTGCTCAAGGACGTGGGCGTCTCCTTATTCGTATGTTATTGAGTTCCGGAACTTTGGATTTCCCATTTAAGTTACTGCTAAATAACATGCATTTATCAGCTGCATTCTATGAGGAGTCCGAGTCAGTTATGGGGAACGATATTCTTATTCAAATATTTTGTTCTCTTGTCAGTGAGGTTTGTCGGATTCCTTTTAATTTGAATGTGGATAATACGGAATTCCTTGATGAAACATGGTGTCTTCCAACATTTAAGACGTTTACATTCGTTCCATGCAAGTATGATACATTACACTATAAACCATACTACAAACGTCTCGTATTTAATTTTAGATTTTTATGTAATTCACTATATTTCTCAGCTTTGTGGTCCAAGCTTTAGTATCAAACGAATATTTACACACTTGATGACTATATAAATCTGTCAAAAACTGCATTAGTTGTATTTATTTATTTATTTATTTATTTTAACACTTAGATATTGGTACAAGGAGGCACCAAATACATATGTGTCAAACAAATCTCATTTGGTTTGTGTGTGGGCTGTGATACTGCCCGGGTGCCTAGACCGAAGCAGGTGGTTTTCTTAGAGGGCCACATCCCGAGCCTTCGACCTGAAGGTCTGATCCACAAGGCAGTGGAGCATCGTGAGGAGATGCAGTCCCATGTTGGCCGGTGACCAACAATTGGTCCATACGCCATTTGTTCCTTCAGGATACTGGAGCCCATGTGCACCATTGGTTTGGAATCCGGTTAAAGCGCCGGACATTCGCTTTTCGTCCTCTCATTTTCGTAAACAACACCCCCGAAACGAGAAGGCAGTGAGTAGAACTTCCCTGGCATAGGCTATATACGCGTGGCCATGTGAGAGCATTTCTAGAGAGAGAGCGGACACTCTCCACTCTCGGCCGTACCAGGGCACTTGGGGGCCCCATTAGTTGTACCATATATATTGTAGCTTATGCTTTACTGAAATGAATATAGATCACCATGTATGTTATTCGTTGAAAACCTTCATTCTTTGATAATGGAGGGGAAATATTTTACATTTCGGTATACTTCTTTTTTTAGTATCAAACTTAAGAATGGCCAACTCCACCACTTCCTCTTTAAGTAAAATAAAGACTTAGGTAAACTTGTAACAGATGTGGAATCCAAAATTACAACTTGGTTACAATCATTTTACGCAGATCGTTTTATCCAATATGACATCAAGACTAATAAAAAAAAGCTAGCTTGATAAGATGTCAGTATTTTAACACAGTAACTGATAATTAAAGATGAGTTACATTGACTCAAACATTTGTATTTTTATATCTGAAGTACATCACTCGTATCTACTCGACAAGTAAAGTTAGAGCAATAACTGTAGTAGCAGGGAAATTAAACTGAGTAATATAATGCAAAATAGTCTTGCTATTACTTAAGGTGTAGTTCATTAAAATGTCGTTCAGATAAATCTCATTATATTTTTTATATTAATGATAATACCTTTCCAACAGCTTCAAGATCCTAACCTTGCTTGATAGGTTCTCAAAGTTATTTAGTAATTCATTAAGACATTGAATTTTAGTACCAAGTAAATTCATGTATAGCCAAATTATAAACTGTGATGATATTTCCGAATGCTCTTTTAATTATTATCGTGATATGTATTATCTACGGTTTCGAATTTCATTGGATTATATGGTGTAATAATTATCTGAAATACTCATATCAACATGCTAAAAAAACTGTTTTTGGCTGTAAAGCAGCATATTATTTGTAGGTGGGATTCACCATAGATTAATTGGGGTTGCAGTACCATTAAAAACCAGAGAGCACCGGGTAGCTTTCTCATCCTAGCATAGGATTTAGTAAAGCGCGCTCAGGACTCCACGAGAGATCAAACTTAGAACCTTCAAATCTCGCGGCAAGTGTTTAGCCATTATAATCATTGCGTTGATCTCTATTGATTTGCACTTCCAACTTCGAACAGTTCACATCCAACTCATCATCCAGTGGAGCTGGTAACAACTTTGCAACTCCCTACATGGATAATTTCCATGTCACAAATTCCCACTTAAACTCCGGGAATTTGTCTCGAAATAAGTCATAATATTACCTTATATCTCTTTTTTGGCTTATTTTCACGTGGTTTATGATCTCTCAATTTGAGTTTAAACTCTATATCATTTAATAACTCGTATTATTCGGATATTCTATCCTCCAGAAATAGTCCTTGTTACTAGTTTTTTAGTTTCTACAATCCTAAAAGAATCACTGAGAAAATTAATGGACAAGGATAACTGTATTTTTTAAAATTATTCTTGGCTATCATCTGATGAACTAAAAGCTGGATACTTCGTTTGTGAACTTTTTTGGTCTGTATTCTTTAATATTTTTATTTTTACTATTTCTACATACATGCTTTATGATGACTACAACTGGAGAGAATACTTTCGCTATAGTTTGTATTTTCGCCAACAGTGTTTACAATTGTTTGGTTACATACAGCTTTGTCTTACATCGAATCACTTATTTATTCCTCTTTGGTCCCATTTTGTGTATTATTTTATTTCTCAACTCACATAGTGACCCGTATGTGATGGAAACCCTGTCATGTTTAGACGACTCCAAGCCACTGGCTAATAAAAGTCTCAAGTAATTTAATGAGATACTATTGTTGGTACAGCTTTTACAAAACTGCGTATGCCACTAAAACTGGTCTTCTTCAACGTTCACATACTGATGCGGATCTCATGATAGATAGGTTTGGCAGTCTTTGGAAAGTCATGAAATCGATGTTTGCTGTATATCCGAGACCCGTATTCAAGACTCCAGCAAACTACTACAGCTTCGTTCTTCATTTATTGAATCGAAAAGCTTGTCTCAAGTACACTTATCCGGGGACCGTATGGGATCTTCGTCCGGCTGGGCTGTCGTCAATGTCACTCTAAACGCCATGATATCTGTCAGCTACAACGTAGGACCAGGCACGTATATGCACCGGTCCAAGTTGCCATATCTTAATAGCACAACAAGATGAACACCGAGTTCATAGAAGTAGTTACTTCAATAGTAGTAATGTGTAAAAGAAATATTGTGTATAAGGATATAATACAGGAAGCAAGAATTAGTTCGTAGAAAGAAAGGCACAAAGCAATTTTAATCCCACGGTTTAAGGAGAGACAAGGGGTGTATACACCTACACCATTGTGATCGATTCTTAGCCATGTCACTCAGAGCCTCTAATAATTGGTTACGATAGTTACACGGGCCCCAACCAAGTAGTCTGCATCTACCAACATGGCTCACACCAGAAGTTCGTGACTTCAGTGACTGATGCCACGTTTTGGTATGGCCACCTGTAACTTCCCTCCAACCATCCCAACACTAGTCAGCATTGCGCGTCATGGTAATCGGTGTTCAGGCGTACGTAACACATGGTCCAACCATCTCAGTCGATGAAAATTTACAACCTCACCAACTGATTTACTATCATTCCGTAATGCCCTGCGTGTAACCTCACTATTACTTGCCCGGTGGTCCCAACAGATGCGAGCAATATTTCTAAGACACCTGTAATCAAATACCAGTAGCCTACGAGTATCCTCTACTCTTAATGGCCACGTTTCGCAGCCGTAAAGTAGAACGAACTGCTGGGCAGTATACTCGTCCCTTAATTCATATACGAATATCTTGCCTTCACCATAGGTAACATAATTTGGCAAAAGCCAAACGAGCTTTTCGACTCCGTGCTGAGATTTAGTCAGACACCAACCCATTAGGGCTGATCAGACTTCAAGATAAGTGAAGTTGTCAACGTGTTCCTCTGTTTCACTCCCTATCCTTAGTTCAGGTGTTGACGCAGACAAGTCCTGAACCATCTACTTGCATTTAGAGGAGGAGAAGCGCATCCCAAACATTCTGGCATTGTTGCTCAGAGCTACCAAAAGACTCTGCATTTTATCAGCGTCTTTACTAAACAGGACTATATCATCTGTGTATTCTAAGTCGATAAGTGAACCTCCTGGTAGGAGATCGATGTCCGAAAATTCAGTCGAATAGAACGTTGTTTCCATCAGTATGTCTATGATGAAGTTGAACAGAAATGGAGATAGTGGACAGCCTTGACGGACACCACTTGAGGTCACAAAAGCAGATGACAGTTCGCCATATGCTCTGACTCAATTAGTAGTGTTCAAGTAAAAAGCCTTGAGAAGATTTTTATGCTTCTGAGGTACGCCTTCCAACGACAGACACTGCCACAGAACTTCTCGGTCTACGGAGTCAAATGTTGCTTTTAAGTCGAGAAAGACCACCATTGTCAGATGCTGATAAGTATGTCTGTGTTCTAGAACCTGACGAATGGTGAATATGTGGTTGATGCAGCCACAACCAAGTCTGAAGCCAGCCTGATTTTCTCGTGTTTCATTTACACTTGACTTCTTAATCCCAGTTTCTTTTAGTAGCCTGTAAAGCTTTCTAGTGTTACCTACAGCCGCTCCTTTTTCAATCTCTTCCTTTCGTTGCCCACCACTGATCACAATCGTTCCTTGGACTTTTGTTTAGCCTAGATCTGATTTGTTTTTGCTCTTTATCGTGTTCAGAGACTGATGGGATGAGTTTACAAGAATTTATCAGTGCAATAGAGTTAGCAGTAATCCACTGATTTTTCGTGACCCTTTGGTTCAAATCACTAATAGATGTCGTTGCTGTTTCCACAGCTGTTCGTATATCTTTCCAAGCAACATCTGGGTCAGCCTCGTTTTCAGAACTGCCTAAGTGTGACCTCAGTTGTTCCTGGAATCTACTTGTGGCTTCCTCGTCACTGAGTTCGGCTCTAATAGGTCTTAATGTGATTCTCCTACGTCCTGTGAGGCGTATGCGAACGCATGCTCGTATTAGAGCATGGCCGGAGACCAATCAGGTATCCCAGAATGAGCGACAATCTTCTATCGACCCTCTCCAACGATGACTGATGGCAATATGGTCTATTTGAGTCCATCGTTGGTTTAGCGCAGGGGGTTGCCATGTTAGGCGATGTCTCTCCTTATGTTTAAATTTAGCGTTTGCTAAAAATAAACAATTGTCTGAGCACAGTTGCAGCAGACGATTATCATTATTTGTTCGCTGTGCCGGAATACTAAAATACCCACCTAAATGCCTTTCTGTTTAGTTTAAACTACCTATCTAGGCATTAAAGTCACCTGCTACGAATACTATGTCTGAACGTTTAGCTTTCTGAAGAAGTTCAGAAACGACAAAAAGGCAACGACGTGCGTTCCTATCCTTCCGAGTTCTTACGGAGCCGTTTAGCCGAACAACACATAGGCGACGGTTAACGGGGATCCATTCTAATAGTGCTTGTTCAGCCCTCGTACTTAGCGCTATGCCTACACCTGCCAGCCCACGAGAATTAGCCATCAGGTCGCCAGAAACACGGAGGGTGTATCTTGTTGGCTCTTCGTTTTGGCGAGGTGAGGTCAAGTGAATGAGCACATTGAGGTCCTGTATGCGTGCTTCGGAGAAACAGCTTACATCAATGGTACAAGATTCTAGTGTTTTAGCCAAGGAGGACTGCTGGTCGATTCGACATGGGGTACGTACGTTGAAGGCTACAATGTGTAGTTTGGAGCGAGGTTTCAGTAGACCTGGGACAGCTTTTTACCCATTAGAATCGTTGGCCATGGTGACACTTGAGGGGGAAGTTAAAGGAGGAGGTTTAGAGTTGAAAGTCGAGGTAGGAGGAATAATAGGAATTAAAGAGGGATATTGATTATGAATACAGTGATCTTGAGTGCTATTAGAGGTATGAGGGCGGTTATCACTTCCCGATTGCCCACACCGTGGAAAGGTTCTTCTAGAGGTACCTGAAAAGTAAACTAGGTTAGGCGTGGTCTTACTGACCTCAGAGCATAACCACAGTGCCCAAGAGACAACTGCTTGAGGTCGGTCGTACCCGACCTTTTTGTGAGTAATTTCCATGTTAGCTCCGTACTTGTTGAGACCTTACTGTTGGAGACGGATATCCGTGGGATAAGGTGAGGTGCGCATTTCTAGGGTCGACCTTTTCTAGCCCCACCCCTCCTTGTGGGGAGGCAGCATCGCTGTTATGCTGGTTGTCTGACGGAAACACCTTACTTCCGTCACACCTCTGTACAGTCGGCAGTACGACTTTGCCCTCGAACATTGGATTTACTGCTTTTAGTCTTACCGCTCTTCAACCGACCTGTCTGGCATGGTAGGACCTTGAGGGATGACTGTTTCAGCCAGCACAGCTTGACTGGTTCATCACGATAGGCAAGCCCGATCACCACGTCAAGGTAGCAGCAACGGCCCGGATGCCATGATATAGGCAATACTGACCGATTAGTTCCTCAGTAAAAGTCAATTATATGGATCAAATGTTTGATGATAAACCCACAATTCTTTTTAAGAATGATGGTGACCTGGTCAGGAAACTGACTGGCTTGTTTGGTTGGGTTTAGAAAACAGCATGTTTCGACATCTTCTATGACTTAGTGTCGTGGTATGGAAAATGATGTGCAAGACTGGTATCTGTTGGCCATTTACAACTCCCAGTTGGGGTTCTAGAAACAGTGCAACACAATAGCTTGGGATGTTACCAGAAATAGCTGAGAATAGTAGCCAGTAGCGGTCCTGGTGTGATCTACTACTTTCTTCATGAAAATGTGAGCAAATTTCTCGAATGAATTGAATTTCTGGTTGTATTTTTCTGACTAAACTGTTTATTCTATTATATACTACTTTGTACACTTAGTTCTGCTAATTCTTTTTTTCGATAGTACTTACTTCCTCTTCTTTATCTCTCCATAATTTCATATTCTTACTTTTTGATATACATTTATTTTAGTGTCTTCCAATTGAAACATTAAAAATATGAACTGGGTAAAGAAGTAATTCTTTTCAATTGATAAAGTCAAAATAAAAACTAAAGTGAAATCATTACCAAGTTACAATCATGCATCTCTAAGAAATATTTTCGAATTGCTCGACTTTTCCAGTTTTGTTACATTTTAATTTCTAATTTTAATATTACCTTACTCTGTTGAATGATCTGATTATCTAATTTTCATTCCACTCATTCTATTAATTACTTATTTTCGATCTCATGAGTAACATGAAACGTTTATATTTGTATTCAACTTTAATTTTTATTCGTCGTCTTATGTAACTAGTGTTAGTAATTAACCAATTATGAAGTTTCACCCTAGTTTTGATTTTATGGAAGTTTTTTTAACTGATTACTAACTCTATCGTTAAATTGATTCACCACCATTTATTTGATATTGATTTTATACTTAATTGTAAAGCATATATATTAGTGTAGGACTTCAACGAGGACCTAATTGAAAAGAATTACGTCGTTACTCAACTTATATTTCTGCTGTCTTTTAATTGCTAAAATATAAAGCCCGTGTATTTAAATATAACTCAATAGCTGACTAGTAGCCGATTAATTGAAGTGGTTTTACTGGCTGGTTACCAAAACTTAATGAGTGAAGTGAGTGTAAATTTATGAGTTAGTGGGTGAGGACCGGTCACCTACAAGACGAAGCAAAAACTCTACACATTTTAATTACATTACGGTGTCTGACTCATAAGCGTTCACTATTGTTGAATTTAACTCCTTTTCAGATGTCTTGTTTCCTTCTGCTGTTATAGTTTACTTAAGTTACCCAATTATATTCACAGTTTTATGAATTGTAAGATTTCTATATTTTCTCCCTGATTCTTTGCATGATAGATTTATTAATAATTAAATAACCAATCGTGTTTCATCCCTGATAGAATGCTTGGTGCTCGTGTCGAAACGGTAGATGGCCATTATTTAGTTACAGAAGTAGATCCTACTGGAGTTGTTGCAGAAGATCATCAGATAACTGTTGGTGATATTCTATCTACCATGTATGGTTGTATATTACACAATTCTGGACTCTTTTTAAATAATCTTCGATCTCTTTATGATGGCCAACCCATTCCAGTTGGTGTTACGAAAGCTCTAATGCCTGACGGGCGTATATATCCCCGTTTAAGATCTCTTTTGGAACAATATGGTTATGTCAATTTGATTACAGACCTCGAAAGATCAGGACCAGGTATTTTACTTGTTAATACTGCATTTTAGGTCAACTAATATCTCTTTGACCTTTTGTTGTTTAGTGACTAGTTATAATTGTCGTGAAGATTAATTTTTATGTTGTTACCCCTACATGGTTATGGCCTTGTGAATGTTCTTTAAGCCATATATTATTCTTCATATCTTACTAAATAGAACCAGAAAACTTCAGGGAAATCAATTATGAAAGCTAAGAGATTGAAGTCACTAGAAGTAGTTTTAATTATGTTATATATATGTCACTTTTATGTTCATACTGTCTTGTTTTTCGATTATATAGTAAGGTTATTGTGATTCGGACACAGTTTTCCGATTTGCTGGATCAGGGTAAATTTTAAGAGTTAGTGCAAGGAAAATACTAATATCCATAATTTGTGTGTCAATAGGTAATAATAACGTAGTTAAAATAATTATGATAAATAGCTTACGTAATGTATTCATTCCTTGGACTTATATCAAGTCCAAAGTTCAGCAAATTTTATTCTCTATTGTTACTTCTGTTTAAGGCTTTTCAAGTTGACAAACAGTTATCAGGGTATCACAGCCATCTAATTATCAGCTAATTAGAAACATTATCGTTTGTGTAAAACACCAATAATATTATCGGTGTAGGGTTGTGGAAGTTGCTAAGTTTTAATTGAGTTCATGAGCTGACCAATGTTAGACCACCATTGAAAACCTAGAAACACTGAACAGCCGTTTTGCTTTGGTATGGAACTCTTTAGCAGTGGGACATGGGCCCAGGACCCTTGACCCGACCGTTGTCGCTACCTTGACGTGGTGATCGGGCTTGCCTATCATGATGAACCAGTCATCCCTCAAGGTCCTACCATGCCAGACAGGTCGGTTGAAGAGCGGTAAGACTAAAAGCAGTAAATCCAATGTTCGAGGGCAAAGTCGTACTGCCGACTGTACAGAGGTGTGACGGAAGTAAGGTGTTTCCGTCAGACAACCAGCATAACAGCGATGCTGCCTCCCCACAAGGAGGGGTGGGGCTAGAAAAGGTCGACCCTAGAAATGCGCACCTCAACTTATCCCACGGATATCCGTCTCCAACAGTAAGGTCTCAACAAGTACAGAGCTAACATGGAAATTACTCACAAAAAGGTCGGGTACGGCCGATCTCAAGCAGTTGTCTCTTGGGCACTGTGGTTATGCTCTGAGGTCACTAAGACCACGCCTAACCTAGTTTACTTTTCAGGTACCTCTAGAAGAACCTTTCTACGGTATGGGCAACCGGGGAGTGATAACCGCCCTCATACCTCTAATAACACTCAAGATCACTGTATTCATAATCAGTCTCCCAGGACCCTTGGCGTCGCGCGCGAACGCTTAACCTCTATGCCACTGAGCCGGTATCTAACCGTGTTAATATCTAATTTCCACCAATCCACGATATTGCGCGACCAATAAGATTGTTTAGCGTTGGCCAAATAAGTAGTATTGGTGAGAACAAAGAACCATTTATGAAGCATAGTATATTCTTGGCAGAACTTAGTTCTGAGAAATGCATTTGTGCCTACGACTGAACAATCCACAAACAAATTGTTTATGATCAGTGGCAAGAGACAATTTAATGAGGGAAACTGTCATAGTAATTATTTACTAATTAGCTTGAAAGTTAGTGATCAAATTTGATAGTTTTTTTAATTTGATGAGGAACAAAAAGATCTTGCACTAATATATGTATTTTTGTCGTTCTTTTTTGTTATCATGGTTGATAAAAAAATCAATGACTTGTTACTACTATTTGCTTATCAATTTTTTAAATACATTATGTATCTACCCAGTTTATCACACTCGTTTTGTCCTATTGAATTTAATTGCTAAATATGTCGATTTTAACATGTCTCATATTTACGAATACAAAATCATTACTTATAAAGCATGGACGGTAAGCTTTGTCATGCATACTGTATCGACTTGTATCGACTTGGTATGCTAGTTTTATAGTTGGTTTTCTGAATTGAAGCATGTATCAAAGGACGAGAAACATTGGTTCAAGATCAAACTAGTAAATCTGGGGAACCACTATTTTATCCCACCAGAAGTTCTCATAAGTGCATTGCTGAGAAAATATAGAAAGTCCCTCTCCCACATCTTGAAAAATCAAATACCACAATTGTTGTTCCCCTGTGCTTTAGAACGTTTCAAGAAATAACTAATCGTATAGAAGTCGTTGTTTGTTTTTGTAGCATGTCAGTTTTAATAACTCAATCAAGTAGACATTAATCTTTGTGTAATTTGCTTTTTGGTTTTTCCCACTAGTTCATATTATTGACAATTCGAAGTTCCTCAATCAGGAACCTTGGTATCATTTTCGATATATTGGACAATGTGAAGTGGGTTCAAGTGGTGGAGTTAATTTGATAAATCAATCTATTGTTTCTGTTCTAAGTAATTTAAAAAATTCAGATGAGCAATGTCCTGTGCAAATTGAATTGGGTAAATCAATGATTATTTCTTTTTTTGTTTCGTTATATATATACTAGCCAGATTGGTGGTTCATCTAAGCTTTTTACTGTTAACCTTAGAGTAATGATTTACTTAGTTTCCTTAAATTCTTTATTATCTTCTCCTTATGTAATTTAGTCACATAGTTCTATTGTTAAGGTAGATACCTTTCTTGTTATGGTTTCTGGAAGTATATTACCTTCGGTTTTTTCAGTTTTTACTAAACACTTGTTCACATAAACAGTATGATCGAACTGATAAACATGTTTTTTTTTAATAATTAATATGTACCCTGGTTTTATTTATTTGATCTTTTGTTATATATGCAGCTCCGTTGATATAAGATTCTTTCGCTCTAAAGATTACGAAATTCCGGATTCTGTATATGTTAGGGGAATACAGATTAGATTAAAGCACGTTCCGTGCAGGATTATGTTAGGACATGCTGATTTGCTATTTCTTAACCAATCAGCGCCGGTGGATATTTGGAGAAGACTCTAGAATCTACTTATGTAAAAACCGTAAATACACTAACGTTTTTTTATCGTGCTTCCTACTTCCATCTATCCTTGTTATTTGGAATATAATTTCGTTCCTGTTCAAACGTGTTCTGATGTGGGGACTTGCCGAGTGAATTAGTGTCCAAGAATACTAAGCAATAGGAATAGCTGGGTCGTAATAAGAAAAAAATTATAACAGCATATTGATAACGTTAAGATCTCTCGATTATCTAATTAAGCTTACGTCTGTGATTTTATAAGTTGTGGATTCTGCATTTTTCCACTGAACACTCTCACATTGTCTTCTATTTCTGCTATTTTTAACGTTGCTCGACTTTAAATGGTAAGATACAGTAACTTAGTTGGAAAATGTTTTTTTTTTCATTTAAGGTGAATTGGGTGTGATTGTATGGCAGTTACAGCGGAAAGATAATAAAGTTTGTCGTAGTGAAGAACCTCTTCTACGTCATTCCTATCCACAAATATCTTCATGCGGTCGAAGAACCGATGGGACCAATTATTTTGCATATATAGCCGGTGAGGAATCATGCACTACAGCTAGTCATTTTACATGTTATGTATTTGAATCAATGGATAAAGAAGAAGCTAGAAGAATTATATCCGGTTTATCAATGGGCTTTGATAGAACACATTGGACTTTATAATTATTAAAGACAACATAATGTAAGAGCATTTTTAAATAATGGATCTATTTTATAGCGAAAATTCATTCAATACTTGTGATCACTTTTCTTATAAACATTCAAAACAATGTGGCATAATTTTCATATTCTGGTTTAATTGATTTCATTTTAGGTGATCTGTTTCATTCCTGTTAATTATGTGATAAGTTTTTGTTTAGTTTGTTTGTTTTTCTATCTCGAAAATTTACTTCATTTAACTCTGTTTTACATTCAAGTAAATATTAATGGATATATTAGAAGATTATTAAGTGATATCTTTAACTTTTTTTTCCCATTCTCCTACTTATTTCCCATGTATTTTCGAAATAAACTACAAATGCTCATTCGATTTATATTTATAAGTTTTTATTTGTCTCTTTGTTCATAGTGAATTATTTTTTGCTATGTATGTTTGTCTTTATGTGTGGTTTTGTTTGTTAAATAAATTACCATCGGCTATATTGATTTTATGCCGTGGAACATGTATTGTTCATTGTATTGTCAAGTTATCTGTGCATTTTGTAATATACACTTTTTTGAGTTATATATATGTGTACCCATGGTGGTAGTATTGTTGTGTTTTCATGTCTGTTTGTTGTCCTTGAAATCACCTTTGACCTGAATATTGAACTTAATTTCTTTATGGGGAAGTTCAATAGTTACCCAATACGTAAATTCTTATCTAGATTTTATTTGAAACAAAATTAAAGTTTTGTTTTAATATAGTTGGAAATGCTTAAGTACATATCGATTTTCAGTATGGTGACCGTGGAGGTTGTTGAATTTTATTGAGCACATGAACTACTTCAAGTTAGACAACTATTCTAAAAGTGAAAGCACTGGTAAACTGTTTCGTTCTAGCATGGGACTCTCCAGCAGTGCGCATCCACGACTTCACTATCGGGGATTAGACTCATGATCTTAGGTCTCACACTTGAACGCTCAACATCTAGATTACTGAGTCTTCACCTGACGATGTACAAGTTTAGCTTCAGTCAATCCTCAGTACTGTCCGATCGTCTCCCATTATCTTCAGTGGATATGTTCCTCACAACACCTGACACGATTCCCTCTCAAAGATGGTTACTATTAATCATCATATGATCACTAGTGACTAGTTTCGATAGGAAATTTCCAGAGTGCCAGTGAGAAACTGTGAACATTGGAGCTAAATCGTCTCAGGTGTTGTGAAGAATATATCCACTGAAGATAATGGGAGATGGTCGGACAGTATTGAGGATTGACTGAAGCTAAACTTGTACACTGTGAGGCGAAGACTCAGTGATCTAGTTGTTGAGCGTTCGATCACGAGACCGAAGGCCGTGGGTTCGATCCCTAGTGGTGGTGTCGTGGGTGGATATTGCTGAGATATTGATTTATCGAGTGAGTCGGTGTTATTGTCTAATAATTGTATTCTATTTCATTAGTCGTTCGAATAATAACTATTTTAGATCTACTTGCTATTGTTTGTTCACGTATCACATATGGATGCACACTTATTGAGAGAACAATTAGATATTTTTTGACATAGGCTTAATTATTTCGAATAAGTCAACTTGACATACGGGTAGAATGACTTAATCATCTACCTACAGAATTGCATCTGCATTATAATTTATTATTTTCATTGTAATCAGTATACTTTAAATAATATGTAACATCTTTGACTTCATAATGTTATTCTTTTTTAGGTTATTATATTTTCTCTACCTTTGGGTTTGTCAATGTTGTAATATACCAATTCCGTTGTACGATAGAAAGTTCAGTTAAAATTCGTGTTCATTCGTATTATTTTAATTTATTATATATCTTCAGTAATTGCAAATAAAGGTCTCTTGGGCCAAATCAGAGTAAATTTATTTTTTATAGGTCGAATTTATGAATAAAAAACTGATTTTTACACATGAGACAGTTAATATATGGTAGAGTTGAGTGCACTTTACTACTTGAAATTCACTAGTGTCGAAACATGGCAAAGAACGTTCTCGATTAAATCATGAATATTCAAGAACCTACTTGGTACTTCTCAGGAATTCTGAAGCTGTTAATCAAATCTACTCGTCTACATTTCCCCATAGAGTATTCTAAGAATTACTAGCCTCCTAGACCAGGATTGTTGTGCCTGGTTCTATGCAAGTTTTATGCTTCCAGGAATTCATACTTGATTTGTTATATTTCTAAAATAAGGATGATTTTCGAAGGATTAAATGTCTGTTCCTATTTCGTTTTGATGAGTCCTTGTGTGATTTCCACATTCATAATTAGTATGGTTGAATATATCGTTTATATTTGTTCATTGTATTGTAGGAAGTTGGACTATCATTCATGTTATTATTTTGGCTTACCTGTGGGACTTGCATCTTCCATTTTCACCAGTTTCTAATTTGGAAAATTTACAGTTAAAGTAATTCATATAGAGAGATGATTTAAAATGGATTTGCTTCACTAATGACAAGGAGTTAGGGATTTTGTAATTAGAAGTTTCTGTATATTCAGTTATGTGACTGGATGTAAAGGATAGTTTATTGCGCATTTCGGAGAAAAAGATTAAATTAAGTTTGAGTCTCCTCTTCCATGAAGGGTCGAGCTCAAGTTTATTGCATCTAGAATTATAATTCAAGGTACAATCATTTCCAAGAATCCGAAGTGTAAATTGTCGCTGTACTGATTCCAACCTTAATTTATCATTTATGCACAAACTACTAAGAATAAACGTGCAGTATTCTAGGAGTAGTCGAATACATACTTTGTACATCAAAATACATGACTCTTTGTTATGAAGGTTTCGAGTTATGCAACCTATAAGACATTAAAATTTGGAGGTCTGTTTCAATACTTGTACTGTAAATGACAAATCGTAGGAGTACTCAAGTTTCCCCTGTTTTCTCCATGTCTAGTTAATACAATAAACTTTTCGAGTATATGAAACTTACAAAAAGTTTTATTTATAAACTTTATGTACACAAAATTTTAGAATTAGCAAAACATAAACAACACTGTCTTCATAGAATATCATTTTTAAACAACAAGATTTATTGACTTCAATATAAAAAAGAGATTTTATTCATTTTACTTAATCGTCTGAATGTCTCACAGCATTTATACAACAACAACAAGAACTGCTACTACTACCTGTTCAAAAACAAGAACAGTACAATTTTTCAATATTAATATAGAAACAACATACTTGTCTAAACTTATTTTATACTATAACCGTTCGATAATTTTAGATTTGTTTATTTCTTTTATTCAGTTGATAGTGTATTACTGATTGTTAGAAAATAAATGTGCTCATAATGATTTAATCATTAGTTAAGACATTAATTGAATAACAATAATGTACATATCTGTCGATATTAGTCTGCCGTGGGCAATTTTGAGTTCTTTTCTTGGATATATTAAGTAAGATGATATCACTGATATACAGTTAAATGCTTATACTACTTAACTGTAAATAAATGCTTTTATAGCGTTGTATGAGAATCAACTTAGAATGTAGTCAAACATTTAAACTGTAGTTAATAATTGATATCAGTTACATGTTAATTGTATACCAGTTGTATACATTTGTCGGTGTTCTTTCTGAGTAAATAAATTGAATAACATTCCAAATCATTAGTTACTTTGTGGGAATTAACATTGGTTATCGTTACATGATTTTAAAGCTTTCTAAAATAAACTTTGAGTGTTTATGTTAACAAATATAGTCTTCCTATATCCAGTTAATATTAACAGTATCAATGCTTGAGTGGATATCTACCTTCACTTATAGGTTAAAGTTCATCGTGTATTCAAACGAGTATACGATATAATGTGAATGGATGTTTCCTAATTCGATGAACCAATAACTAGTGAGATTTAGAAATGATATACAAGAAGGAAAAAAATTTTTACAAAATTTAAAATAGGTTGAGTTTTAAAAAAAGTTATTGAGGCAAAACGAATACTAATCCTTTCAATAATAAATGATGCATAAATGAAAACCTGAAATTTGGCCACACGACATAATTATGTTTACAAGTTGAAGAAATGGTAGATTTCCAGGGAGACGTAAACAATATTTTCTTACATTTATTCTCATTTTTTGTGACGTCACAACAACAAATTAGTTAGTTACTTTAATCGAAAATGTTTGTATGGTCATGTAGTAGAAGTAATTTGTGTCAAAATACCCTTTTTAATGACTCTAACCACATTGCTATTTGTAGGTCGATTTTAAAATATAATTAACATGCTCGTCTGTTAGCTACGTAATAGTTTACGTTGGGCGTCAAAGTAAATTCAGGCCACTGGAAAATGCACAAAGAATGCATTTTACTTGATCAATACTGTTCACTTATAAGAGACAATATTAAGTATATTTAGTGACAGTAAACGTCGTGCTGTGCTAACTGTCATAAAAATGTTTCCTTTATTAACTTCACATGTGAAAAAAATGTTCCACACGAAAACGTTGTTACTGAAATATGATTTAAGTAGTACTGTGCTTCTACACTATTGGAAGGCTACATTTTATGTAGTGTAAATTAATTTACTGTCAACAAAAGAAAATTCACCCAATAAGATCAAATGGATTCTTTTTAGTCTGGGAATCTTGTTGTTATAACTTTGTTTTAAATTATCAAGAGGAAAGGAATCCGCATTATCAGTTAAACACAAACATATACTTTCGAATATGGAAAGTCAAATGTTAAGTGACATGAGGTATCTATTACACTCCAGAACTTCGTTTTCCTGGCAATAAGTTTTAATAAACAAAATAAATGGAATTCACTACACGAAAGAAACCTTAATCTAGCAAGCTATTATATCTACAAATCATATAAAAGCCAACAATGCTCCCTTATATGAACGTTTGAAATTTGATTTAAACTTAAGATCGAGTGATTGAGAAATAATTTCCTAGATCTTTGAGTTATGAAATTGTTTCTTTCAGATTGGTTGAAATCATTCAAGTTCGTTGTTACAATAAGATAAATGTCCAAAAGAGACTCAGGATTATTCACTATTCACATTTATTTTCAATAATTTTTCTCAACGATGTGTAATAGAAGCACTTGAGTCAACATCTACTCATTAAAAATACCGGACATTTCGATTAGTTAACAATCTCTCACTCCCTTCCAGAAACTAAATGAATCACAATGTAAACCGTTGAATTTCTTCAAAATATTTATTAAATATGTGTAAAGGTATAAAAGGAAAAAAAGTGGAATCTTATTTATTAACGCGGAAAAAAATTGTGCAATCATTTATGAAAATATGTAATGTATGTAACTGTGCACGTATGTATTCGTGTGTGCCTCTTTGTGTGTATTTGTTTAAAAGAAAACATATTTTTTCGTTTAATAACTTTCTGATTTCGTAAAACCAAAAGAAAAAATACGAAGCTAACCAAACCACAGTGACCAAGATGCAAAAAAGAAACAGCGAAAAAACACCGAAACCTATGAAAAAAAATCAATAAGGTATTTATTTGTAAATGAAATTATAATTCATCGTAAATGGAACAACTAATTTCTCCTCCTCATACAAATGTAAAGCGAGGTGGCAATAGGGCGTTTGATAAAGGTGATCCAAAAGAATGAATAAAATGAAGAAGCGATTCATTGTCTAGTCTCTCCTGTTAATTACAAGTCAACTAAAAGATTAATCAGTTCAATGAAATTTGAGACAAAATATATCTAAAATTATTTAAAAAAAGTTGATACTTGGGGAAAAAAATGCATATAACTCTATCATCAACTTTGCATGCTTACAGACTTTTGCTTTAGACATAACCAGCTAAGGAACAACAGACAATAACAATATCAATCAATAATCTGTTGTCAATAGGATGGCAAACAATAGACATGATTAACTAATAAGTGGATTATAGGATTTGT